AAAAAAACCCTAAATGCTAACCTCAGTTTTCCTATCATGCACAAAGGGGGCATCAAAATGACAGCTGGTTCATACTTGAGGGAAGGTGTGGTTAATGAAAGGCTTTCACAGCAGCGTGGTGCTGGTCGATGGATTATCAGTCTCCATCTAATTTCCTTTTTGCAGTTTTGCGGCTAATGCACGCACTGTCTAATGGAAGGATATGAGCAGTAAAGTGAGATGGTGGTTTTTTAGATTAGATAAAATGTCCATAACTGCTGAGGGCTGGACCACCGTAGCTGAGAGAAGGAAGTGAAGAAGAAGAGGAAACACAGAGTACCGAAGGTTATATCAGAGGAGTCGGGGTGGGGGGGTGGGTGATTCAACAGATAATTTGTTGTTGCAGGGTGTTTATGTGTCCACTGCTCCACTAATGTACATTTTATGTGCTGAAATCTAAATAACATTAAGGAGCACATGCCTAAATGTTCCATACATGTCTGGCTATGCTTTAGTAACACATGTAGCTAGCTTACTGTCAAACATTTGATATAACATGGTTGGCAGGATTACTGTTACAGTCAGCATGATTCTTAAAATAGTACATATAACAGTACAAACATATTTCTGTTCAAACTAAAATCACAAATACAGAAATCTCTCATATGTATAAAACACAACTGAACTCGTATGACAAGGTAACATGTGAGTTAATTTGTGGTGTCAGTATTTACAGACTCCAGCAACTGTAGTTCCACAAACTTCACTGTCAAACCCGCAGAATTACAAAGAATTTGATTATCTAAGTACAGCTGCTTCAGTTTCACATTTGTACATGCTAACTCATGATTGGTCATATTTTGCTGCACTCTCTATTTTAATGATATTTAAATGCTTTGTAATTAAATGATGTGACCATTCATTACAGAGTTGTTTATTTAACAAAGCCAGTCTGTGTCTGACCTGCGTTAAATCATGTTGTTCTCAATGTGAAACACTTGAATATGTGTCAGTGCAAAAACACCAAAATATCACTGATTATACACTGATTTAATAGATATTGTAATTTCACATTTTCCAACGTGTTATTTAAATAGTACTTCCACTTATCGCAGCTTAACATGTGCAATTTGTTGGTAGTCTTTTTGCAACTCTTTTTTTTTCGAAACACAGAAACAAGCTAGCATTTTTTGAATTTGCAGGTCCCTAACCTCAAGGGCAATGTTTTTTTTAATGGGTTTCAGGTAAGTTGCCTGAAATGAGGTCTGTGGTGAACAAAAGCTTGAGATTTTACAACATAAAATGCATCAGTAAATACCCCACCTGTGAATTTTGAAGCTTTTACGTTTCTTGAAAAGGCAGTTACTAACAAGTGGCTAAATGAGACATCAGAGGTTGTCTGTGACATTAAACGTCAGCACTAGTCCACCATTACAGCCTTGTGTCACTGTAGAAATTGAAAAATCCCATTGGCTTTTAGTCAAAAGGTACCAGATCAATGCAAACATTCCCGGGTTGGCCAACAAAAGTTTGTCATCCCTGCAGCACTTTCTATTACCCAAATTGTAAAAGAACCCAGACTTAAATAAGCATGTCTGCATCTAGTATCATGAACTTCTCTATCTAGCTGAGGGGTAGGGTATGGTCCATACCATGTGGGTTTATTGATGTGTTTAATCTGAGAAATGCTGAGATGTTCCACTTCTTTGAAATAAGTGTTTTCATCAAAAGTATGACTGTCAAGAGGTGCTTCCTTAAACACAGCTTAATTTAGGGTTTCTCAGAAGCAGCACATCAATGTTAAGGTGCGTGCAATGTCCTCCTACTTGTGAAAAACTGGCTATTGGCTCCAACATCTGGGCCATGTAACATTTGTTTATTTAAATCAGACAAAATCTAGTTTTTTCCTTTTAAGGATGTATGCCATATCTGCAGTGGTTGAGCAAGTATTAGGTAAAAAACTTCCACACACAATGTGGACATCTTCATGTGCTAAGGACAGCTTATTGATCAACCCAAGCCTTTTTTTTCAACATTTGTTTTCCTGTCACACCCCTCATTGCTGTGATCAAACATCTTTCACTCTCATTTTCAGTCTTAATGTTTGACAGCAAACAGATCAGATATTTCCAGCCAGTAAGATGGAAGGGTAACGTTTTTCAGTTTCTCTTGTGTAACCCAGGTCCTCGAAACTGTATTCTACACATACACCATAAAAAGGTTGTTTTTAACTCTGCTTGATAAGTCTAAAGGTGAATAAATTATGTTTAGCTCAACAAAATACCCGTTTATTAAACGTTGTGTTAAGTTATCTGATGTATATTTTTGTCAGGGTTTTTCAGAACTTCTCTGCTGTGCAAATCCAGGAAATCAGTTTTTCAACTTGTGGTTAATACAGCGTGTGTTTTAAAACTTTACTGCTTTGCATTTTCAAAGGGGCCTTAAAATACAAAGAGAGGAAGTGGCTCAGCGAGTATGGGAATGTATGTCTGTATGCAGTTGGTACTATGTGGCAAACCACCTTTATATGCACAGACCTGAAATTTAGACGGGTTCAAAAAACTGACCCACAATTTGTAAATTCAATATCATAGCATTATTTAAACACAAGGTCTGTGTGTATTAGACTATTAGGGGTACTGTGTATTTATTTAGTTACTATGAAGATTAGACAGTTTTGTACTTCTAAAACTAAAAAACAGAACTAAGAAATGGGAAGAGTTAATGACTGCTTCCACATGTACAAGCATAACTGACTCAACTTGATGTGACGTACTGTAAAAACAACAATACGCAAACACACCATGCATAGTTTGGTAGTTTTCCCATTTGTGTGAAGTAAATAAACCACCACACACAAAATGACCTGTTGTTTGGACTCAAGTAATCGACTCACATGTACAAATGCCCTGACATGTACAAAGTGTGTCTGTGTGTGTGTGTGTGTGTGTGTACCAGGGAGGTGAAGTCTTGAGCCTGCCACAGCAGCCAGTCCTCACTCAGTGTGTATAGAGCTTTCTCTGTCACACAGTCCACAGGTCCTTTTGCTGTCTGCTGCGTGAGAGCGCTCACCATCAGGAACAAGTGTTGGCCAACACTTTCCTGCAAAGAATTAGAACCAGGAACTCAGTTGGTCAAACGGGGCACAGAAGCCACTGTAACTTCATGAAGAGCTCTCTGCGGTGTTAACCAGAGCAGGGAAAAAGTTAAATTT